ATTAAAAAAAACTAAACTTATTAAATTTGAAGAGAGTATATATTAGTAGTAACCGTACAATTTTACCATTAAGGTAATTAATTAAATAAGTAAATAAATAATCCATATAATGATGGACGTTTTTCTATGTTACTATTGGCCAAGCTTTAACTATTTAGAAGATAATTCTTTTTTTATAAATATTCATAAGATAATTCTTAATCTTGATTAAACTGATATTATAATAAAAAAATAAATGCAAAAATAAACAATGTTATTCAATTAATTAATAAAAGTAAAAATAATACTAAATGGGATTAAAATTTGAAAAAAATTAAAATTAATAACATGGTATAACTGTATAAGTCATCAATATTTAAAATATTAAAAAATAGATTTAATATTATTTAATGATATTGTGATTTATACCATATAATTAGTTTTAAAATTTCATCCTTTTTATCATTACTCCATAAGTAATTAAATGGGAGAAGTCTAGACTATATTATTCTTTTTTCTTTTTTTTATACAATAAGAGTCAACTATCTCTCATATTTTATCTTACCTAACTCACATGCCAAATGATTCGAATTTAAGATCTCTTATTTTTAACAAAAAAAAATAATTACTGACTTCTTTAGATCGGTGATGGAGTATATTATTCTTAGTATTACTATATTATAGTTTAGATATAATGACAAAAATTTAATATTTAATATTATAAATATTATATTTAACTATAAAACATTAAATATAAGATGAAAAGGCCTTTTTTATTATTAAAAAGCTTCTCTTAATTAATTTAATAATTATTATTTTATAATTTAATACAATTTAAATTATAAAACATTCTTTTAGTTTTTGTAATGAATCAAAGAAGAGAGTGAGAGAGAAGTTTTCGCACATCTTCTTCTCCATCTAACCATCTACCCCGCTACTTACCAGTAAACGGCGGGTTTCTCTGCGTCCGTCCTACCTACACAATCCACGTTCAACGGGACCAACTCCAAAACGCTGGCCCAAGCCCTCATTCACAAAATTGGTTCCTTCTGCCTGTTCGCACACGAAGGTGGACCGATTCATTATTCCCTGTTCCTTCCGCCTGCATATCAATTTAATCAGTCATAAGGTGGACCAAAAATTGCAGCCCCGTATTTCACAGCCCGTAATCATGTCTACACTCGAAAAACATGGGCTCCATTTTTTTTTTTTCTTTGTTCTTGTTCTTCTGAATTTATCCCCTGTTGAGGGCGAGAGGCACAAGAATGGAACGGACCAATTGAGGACCTTTTTTTCTTTTTTGAACAGGAGAATTATGGGGAATTGAGGATTTATCGCATTGTTAGTGAAAATAAAATTCTTGATCAATTATATTCAAATATTTACATTTTATTTGAATTGAAGAAGTTAATGAGGAAAAAAGGGAAAGTCAGGGAGAGAAAGTACATTTTTCTGTTTGGGTATATCATTTTAATGAAGGGGGTATATCATTTTAACGAAGGGGGAGGAAGATGGAACCCTCTCTTCTCCTCTATTTTCAATCTTTTTAATTTGGAAAGATTAGAACAGATTATATTATATAATTTATTTTTATTTTTAATTTTTTAAAAATGGAAGATGGACTTTTGGGATTTGTTCCTTTCCTTTACTAATTTTTATCTATACATAGGGCTTAAAGTTTGGCACAAATTATTAAAAACTTAACATTCGATTTGAAGACCCAATTTATTTTATTTTTTACTTTTACAAAGAATGGAATCATATTACTTGGGACAAATCCCAAAAGTCCGTCCCTCTATTGGAGGTAGAGAGAGGTCCGTCCTCAAATTATATGAAGGAACAAATAATAATACTAGCTAATTTGAATGAATGAATAAATGACTTTAAATGTAACAGTTAATATTATAAATGTAAGGTGTTGATATTATATGATATTAATATTTTTGTTTCTTTCTTGTTTACATGTTTTTTTTTCCCTTTGCTTGTAATAACAAAAGAACTTATATTATATAATGTTAATCTTTTTTTCTTCTAAAATAATTATCTTTTTTAAATTTTAAATTTATTTCAAATTAATTACTATCTTTTATTTTTAAGGTAAACAAATATTTTTTTTTATTTTAACCTTATTAATATCTTTTTTTATTAATTATTTTATCATAAAAACTCTTACTTTTATCTTTTAATATTTTTTAAGATTAATATAAGTAAATACATAAATAATAATTATTATGAAATAGAAAAGTAATAATTCAAATTAATGTCATTTATCATACCTAATTAGTTAGTGAAAAAATTTATCTCTATATTTAATATGAGGGTGAACTCATCCCTACCCTAACCAATTTATTTCTATATTAAATGCGAGAGTGAATTCATCCCTACCCTTATGCTTGGGGAGTAAATTTAAGGGTTCGGCTATTATTTGTGTTAAGTGGTCCTTAGCATTGGGGGAGGATTGCATGCCCGTTAAAATGGTAATTGATCATACAAAGTCACCACTTCGCTAGCGAATCTGCAACTCCATTAGCTGACCTAGGGGCAAAAACAAATTGTCATGGGTTGATATCCTAATCATTACGGAACTTCCTAATTAAAGTGATGCAAAAATCAATCACTTTTAGACTAATGCTGGCCATTATAATGATGCATACTTCAAAGTAAAACTTTCTATTCTACTAAGAAGGAGGCATTTTAATTCTAATAAGGTGATTTAATGATTAAGAACTTAAGATTTTAAGTTAAAGATTTCAAGTTCAAACCTTAAATCAGGTGAAGAGAGATTTAGGAAAAAATAATGACTATTCTTTTTTATATAACCCATTCAAATGTACAAAAAAAAAAAAAAAAGCATTTTTAATAAAACATATGCAAAGAGAGCCCACTACAAAGACATGAAGGGGGAAAACAGATCCTAATTCTTCAATTCACACAAGGAGCTGCTAGAAATATGTCTATCAAAGACTATTTACAATTTTGACACATGAATCTAACAAAAACAATGCATGCATACACACATGCAAAGGCAAGGATTCTAGTATATCCAAGATCTATGTTGTATTCACAAATTGAAATTGCAGAAGATGTGCATAAAAATCCATCATTTGAACGATAACAAAAGCTTCATGATCAATTATAATTGCTACAACTCAATTTGGTGGATAACAGTTCCAGCCCTCTGTATGCTGGTTTAGAAAAGCTTCTTTCTGCTCATTTTCTTTGGCTTCCAAAATATGCAATGGTTATACTGCAATTGCCTGTAATAATCACAACAAAACTCTATCCTTGAAACTCAAGGGCCTATATCTAAGACTATTTAGTAATAAATCTATAAACAAATAAAGAATAGATGAAGACATACGTCTTGTATTGTACCCTATAGCTGCGTTCGACAAATGCTGCAGCTTGAAGAGACTCTAATGATGCCACATTCTTGAGGCCCCATGAGGCAACAACCAAGAACATTTCTGACTAGCCTCTAATGGCTGTTATCTCACACACACAGAGCATTTAGTAGGATATGGCCTAACATGAGATCAACAAAATACTGATGTCCAATCTCACCATCCCTCCATTTCATCTTCAGAGGTGCCCTACCATAGTGAACTCCATCATTGCATCGGTTATCAAAATGCCATGGAAAAGTCATGTCAAAGTTGTCGATCACACCAGAAACCAGCCCAGCTTGTCTCAATTTCTCCAAGAACATCCCATTAAAGACCTCCATCTTACTAGGATTGAAGGCCAAAGTTCTTGCATATCCACCAGTGGCTACAGTTGTCCTGTAAAAAATTTGAGGCACATTCAACCCTCTCAGCCTCACTGACTCAATTAATTCTTTCCAAAAGGATGCCGCATAATCTGCCCCTTGAGAAAATGCTCTTATACTAGACCAGTGAATACCATCATGCAAGCCAGAATTCATGATGATGGTGTCCGGGACAGTATCCTCTAAGAAGTACTTCTTCACCAATTCCCTAAACCCTTCATCCTTCAAAGAATCTAATCCCAAGTAATTCCCCGATTCATTCCAATGACCATTGAAAATGCTTGTGAATCGAACTGTTTGCGAAGGATCCTTCGGGTTTGAGAAGTTCATATCAAACCTCCTAGGCACGGATCGCACTTCAGGCAAATCCAACATGAAATTCAGCATATTCCTTATAGTGTCAACGTGATTCGAATCACCCCAGAAGAAAATCCAACGATTCTTCAGGCATTTCCAAGCAGAATTTGCCGAAGACAGCCTGAATGAACAATGTGCAGAATATACCCAACCATTACTTTCCAATGCTCCTAATGAACCGTTACACCATGGATTTTGACATGGGAAATCCAGAGGTAGACATCGGAATCTACCATCATAACTAATTTGACAATCGTCATTCTTCCCATGTCTTGTCCACCGTCCTGACCAAACATCTCTAGTGAAATCAGATTTCTGGCAAATTTGCAGCTCCGGGAATGGTGGAGCTTTAGTTTTATAGAACCTGATTCCTACATGGCGTAACTCCCTATTGTATGCAAATCGTGAAGGTGAAAATTTCAGACCTTCAAAATGTCGAAACAGTAAGATCAAAGTGAGATTGTAGTCGCCGGAGAAATCTGGATGAACCTGAAGCGAAATCGAGTAAGACCCATTGCCGAAATCTTTCACTGGAGGCCGAGATTTCCACGACTCCCCAGAAACATCTGTCTCGAAGTAGTCCCCACCCAAACACCGTGCATTTCCAGACTCATCGAGCGCTTGGAAGACAAACTCATGGATTTCGCCGGCCGGTAACTCCACGATATCCCGTCCGTCCAAAGCGGGAATGGCAATCTCCACCGTCCGAGAATCCTTACATGGCTCTCCTGGCGACTTCCATCTCTGGAGAAGATTCTCTGTGAAGTTCGGCTCTAATTCAGCTGAAACCCAGTTCAACTCCGACGATTGTGCTCGACTTCCGTCGGCGTTTTGCAGAATCGCGCTTGAAGTGTTCGATGAAATGCTCGCACCAAAACGGGTACTGTTCAAGGTGGGATTTTGTTGAAGATTCTGGGTGAGATTTTGGCGTGTTTCATCAGAGAGAGCAGAGAGGGTTGCCACTTTCGTGTTTAGGAGCTCTTGCTTGAGCTTCCATGACTGGATGAAACTCTGGATGGTGCAGCCATCTATGCTCCAAACAGCCACCATCCCCACAAAAACCAGAGCTGTTAGCAACCCAAAACGCCATTGATGCAAAGGACTCGACCGGAGAACCCACTGGTTCAACAATGGAGGTCCATTTCCCCCTTTCTCCGGCATCTCGATTCAGCAACCTCACCACTCACCACCTGAACAAAAAAAAAAAAAAAAGCACACCATTAACAAACTCAACAAACCCCATGAAAATGGAAAGCTTGAGAAAACTAAAACGCAGAAATAGAATTTAAAAAGTTGTAAAGTATTAAGCTTTTGACGACAAAGCACACTCCGGGAAAGCTTGAGTAATCCAAACACTAAAATTTTCCCAAGAAAATCTACACAAACAGAAAATTTAACAACTTAGAGAGTAAATGCTTACTGGGTATGTTTCAATACTGAAAACCCTTCTCAGTTTTCTCCTTCGATTTCCTTTCAAAAAGACCTGAAAATTTTCTCAAGATGATATATATATTGCTTTTCTTCCTCAGTGTTTCCAGTTGCTGACAGTATATTGAGGAAAAGAAATTAATCCCAGCGGGTTTCTATGAAGAATCTACAGGGGCAAACATCCGCTGGCATTCTAAATTGACCAAGATTTGATTTTTATTCTTTTGAAAAAGAGAAATTGAACTACTTCTCTTTTTTTTCCCGTAATTATTATGACTAGAGGAAAGAGAAGTACACGGGAAGAGGCTCTAAGAAAAAGAAGACCGACAAGGGAGTATGACAATATTTTACGTTGACGATAATACCCTTGTATGGAGTTGAAACTAGAAAAGGACAATGCAAGTAATTTTCTCCTTTCTAGTTTTAGACTAGGGTGAGCGGATTCAAATCAATAATTTGCTTCGACGTGATATGTATTTTATTAGTTGAGTTATATATTTAAATACATAATATGCTATAAGTAGTCATTAAAACCTAGTTTCGGGTGGTTTAATTCAAATCAATATTTTGAGTTGGGAGAGCTTATATTTTACTATTTTATCAATCGTGCAAATTAGGGGACCGACACGGTGGATTTGGTTCAATTGGTGGTTCCGGTGAGGGAGTTGAGGGCATTGGTGTCATTTCATGCATTGTAATTAAAATTGTTGTTACTTGGGGGCTGGTGGAGCGCACAATTGGCGTACTGGCATCACATGAGATGTTCGCAACAGAGAAAATGACCAAAAGGTATGCACACAAAAAAAAAAAAAAAGACCAAAAGGTGGCTTCTTGATTGGATCCAAAGTCATATGATAAATGAAACAGTACCTTTTCTCTTTCCTTTTTTTTTTTTTTAGTTTTTTTAATCTATACCTAATAATTCAGTATAAGAATATCCTAAATATATTTTTTATGATTAATTTTTATTAAACATGTAAATATTAATTTTAGTTTAATTAATTAATTAATTAAAATTATTTATGTGTCAATAATATTAAAATATATATTAATTTTTATAATTTTTAATATGAATTAATTATAAAAAATATATATTTACTGCACATTTAAAAGGATAAGTTAAGTGCCAACGATCTAAATAACTCAATGGTCATCTTTTGTAGTTAAAACTAAGAGATTTTAAATTCGACTCGCATGATATATGAGTAAGGTGTGATAATGATAGATAATAGTTACCTCTTGTAATCAAATTTTTTTTTAAAAAGTACATGCTAGATAAATTTTTTTCTAAAAATATATATGTAGGAGAAAAATAAATACCGTGATAATGAACAAGAAGAAAGCTTTAAGGATCATAAACAGTGGGGGTTTTGTGCTATTCTCATATCTCAAGGTGATATGGTTTTGAATTCAAATGTTGCTTCACAAAGAAACCTATATTATCTTTTATGTCAATTAGACATAACATTAATTGTCTCTTGATCCGTCTAACATTACAAAAAAAAAATTCTGGATCTATCCATTCCAATTTAGTTTACTTATTAAATTTATGTATTTTAATTTAGTTGTTTTAAAGGTACAAATTAAAATTTTTTTTAATTATACAAGACATTAAATGTTATTATTTTAATGTTTTATTATTTTAATCTATTTATAAAGATAATAAAAGTCCTATTAAAAATAAATATATTATTTTAATATCTAATTGCAGTATAAAATTTTAACTACTGTAGTTCTTAAATTCTTTAACGTATGCAAAGTCAAAAAAATAAGATCACTAAAAGAAGGCATTCCTTGTCGTGGCCCAATGCCGCCCAAAAAGCTATCGATAGAATGCACTTTTATTAGTGATCAAATCTTATTAAAAAGTAATATATTAATTTTTAATTATTATTTTTGTTAAATAAAAACTAAAAAAGGCACTTGACCCATGTGATCCAATGACTAGAGCCACTGAAAAGTGCACATCCCCTCTTTTAGGGCGGGTTTTAAATCCGTACCATAACAAAACTGTTTAAAAATAATAATAATAATAAAAACTAAAAAAGTAATTTAGATTGAAAAAGGACACGTCATTTGACCATAACTGTCTGACAACGTCAATTTAGGAGGGCAGATCTTCTTTTTATGAAAAAACAGAATCCGTGATAGGTGGGAGTAAATGACGTTCCTCTCTCTCTCTATATATATATATATATATGCTAGAAAAATAATTTAAAAAATAATTATATATATAAATATAATTTTTTATATAATTTTATATATAATTTATTTTTTCTACTCTTATTACATGCATATAAATATTATAAATAAATATTATATAAATAAATTATTCACGTACCACTACCATCTCACTATATATAAAGAAAATGATTGTTAGGAAACCTTCCCATTCATGCCTCATGAAAGTGTTTAGAAGGTGCCGTTTTGATAAGGACAATTATAATTTTTTCTTTATTGTTTTTTTTTTTTAAACAAGTTGTTAAGGGATGGGCTTGAAACTTACTCATGAGAAAGGGAAAATGCACCTTAAGTTGGTAAAGTGTTAATTAATCTAAAGGGTCAGATGCTTTTTATTTATTGTTTCTTGTATAATTTTGATAGGGAGTTAATAATTCTATTATTCTTATTGACATATTTAATAAGCACACATTTCCTTAAGATCAATTTGGGTTTCTTTTATTTAGTGACTGCTAGGTAGACCTATCCAAAGATTGGTTATGGGGTATGTAATGATCCATGTGAATCACCTTCTTCAAGCTTAGGGCAAATAACTCAGAATATGTCTGCCTATAATATCCTATGTTATTATATTTCCTCACTTGTTTGAGCTATGAAGTGTGTGACTTATTTACATAAAAATATTGTACTTGTTGTATTCCCTTATTTGTTATCTTTGGTCCATTTTACTTGTCATGATATGTATTTTTAAGTATTTTTTTTACAATATACAAATGTTAATTTTGATTTTTTTTTATAAAATAAAATTACTTACTAATAATTACATATTAAAAAATTTTTAAATTATTATTTGCATATCATAAAAAATATCATTTACAAATATAAATATATAATGTGATAAGTAAAATAAACCAAAGATAGTATCATAAATTCAATAATAGAAATTTTTTTTTAAACATTTTGACATGAAACGGGTTTAAAACCCGTTCAAAAAAAAAAAATCACATATTTAATAATTAATACTATTAACCCTTTAAGGTCATGTGTAATTTAATAATAGAATTTAAATGCTCATAAAATAATAATAATAATAATAGAA